TAGGCAATGGCCAGCATGTACTGTATAGATAGAAAAACTCTAAGAAACTAGACTACAACAAAAGCACACTTATGCTTACATTACGGTCCTAAATGCAAACAGCCAATTACTCTTGGTATTAGTGAGAAATAGTTTTGAAATTTTGTTTGACTAACACTGAACTGAGTTTTATATATTTGGCAGAGAATTTCACTTCAAGCTACAGATTTGGCAATGATTGTTTTCAAACCATGAACTTGGCTTTATAACTACAAGGTTGACAGGCTCAGACATTTGTGTTAATCTGGTTCCTTGATTTATCCCCAGCCATTACAAGAATTCAAGATATACCATAGAGACACAATGAAATTTAAATTAGAGAAGTAATCAAATGCATGAATACATGAGTAAATGGAAGAAGGAAAGAAAATAGAAGTAAAGAAAAAATAAAGAAGGAAAGACAGAGAATGAAAGACCAAAAGGGGAGAAGAAGGAATAAAGTAATAAAGTTGTTAAAAGGAACAAATTTCTGGTGCCACATAACTTTAATCACAGAGCACAAATGACCCAGTATAGCATGTCATATCCCCAGAAGAGAAACAGCCTTATGTTGCCAAGGGTTCTGAGTATGAGGTCATCCAGGCAGAGGCCACACAGCTCTCTCCAAGGGAAACCCTTCCAGGTAGGTCCATCAGCTTTTGCACTTCAGCTAAAATGAAGTTTCTGCAAATCTTAGAACCCATTAGTCAATACAAACTAATTTGTATTGCAAGTTGGCAATTATAAGGTGAAGATCAGGAGACATTCCTTCAGGCAAGAACTTATGAATCTTCCCAAGAGGATCAAAATCCTTAGTGAAGGAAGACGATCATAGTCTTAGTTTATCTTGAACACAGAGAGCACTTGCTCTCTTACTTGTTTGGTTCTCACACCATAAATGATGGGGTTGAGAGAAGGTGGGATAACCACATAGAGATTGGCAATAAGAATGTGAACGTAGCGTGGTATGTTGTGTCCAAAGCGGTGAGTGAGGAAAGAGAAGACTGACGGGATATAGAAAACACAGAGGACCCCAACATGAGAGCCACAAGTGCTGAGGGCTTTTAGCCGAGCATCCTGTGTTGGGAGGTGGAAGACAGCACGGAGAATGTAAACATATGAGATGCCAATAAGGACCAAGTTCAGAAGGAAGAGGGAGACAACAAAGAGCCCATAGATAGCATTGATACGGATGTTTCCACAGGACACTTTTGCAATGCCCATGTGCTCACAGTAGGAATGAGCTATGACATGAGCCTGACAAAAGGGCAAGCGGTAGACGAGATAGATAATGGGAAGTGTAAACAGGACTGGGCGAATTACAATACACATTGTGATGCCCAGAAGCACCCGGGAAGTCAGGGTGGTCTTGTAGTGGAGTGGAGCACAGATGGCCACATAACGGTCAAAGGCCATAGCCACCAGAACCTCAGCTTCCATTCCAGTGAAGGCATGGATTAAAAACATCTGAGCCACACAAGCTCCAAAGTTAATCTCGTGAGCATCAAACCAGAAGATTCCCAGCATGCGGGGCACAGAGCTTGTAGAAAGGGCCAAATCAATAGTTGAAAGGATGGCCAGAAAGTAGAACATGGGCTCCCGGAGGGTCTGTTCTGTCTTGATGACTAAGAGAATTGTAGCGTTGCCCAGCAAAGCCACAAGGTAAACAGAGCAGAAAGGCAGGGAGATCCAGGCGTGAAACTTTTCCAGACCTGGGATTCCAATGAGGAAAAATGTGTCTGGGTGAAAAATGGTCTTGTTGTTGTATATCATCATGCTCTGCTCAGAAGGGGTGGGGCTCTTTCTCCTGGGGAAAAAGCAAAAGAGAGAGAGAGAGAGTGGAGGAAGAAGGGGATAGTATATGAACTCCTTGCTCTGTGTTTCAGCATAGAGTTGAAGTCACATTTGCTATGTGAGTAGACCTGTTTCAGAAGCTCATGCATTCAATTATCCTCCTTAGCCATTTGCATAGGCCAGGACATCGTCAAATGCAGAGTTTTCATTCTGCCACTGACTGAATTCTAATTCTGAACATGGTGGTTTGTAGCAAGCTCAATGCAGATTTCTAATAATTAAGACTTTCTGTTCACTTTAGAAGAGAATAGGATGTCATTCAACCATGGGAATCCACTCTGTGGTGAGTGACACTGGAAACATCTACACTACACAGGGGGCCAATGAATACACTACAGAGGCAGTCAAAAATGCCTTTAGGAGATATATAACGAAAAATAATCATAGATCTAGGTGTGTAAGCACTTCCACAGTCGAAATCTAAATTCTTCTGACTCCTCATTATTGACTGACATAAAGATACATATGTAAAATCTGTGACCCAGTAGCTTCTCATAGAACCTAAAACAAGCTATAAAAAACAGAGTCAGGTGTTTTCAGACAAATGCTGGCTCCTCATTATTGACTGACATAAAGATACATATGTAAAATCTGTGACCCAGTAGCTTCTCATAGACCCTAAAACAAGCTATAAAAAACAGAGTCAGGTGTTTTCAGACAAATGCTGGCTCCTTGAGATGCCTGGCCAGGATCAGAAATAACAATTGTTCATGATTTACAGACTGCAGGGAGCATCACTTGGGAAAGGGATCAGGAGGGTTGTCTAATGCCATTTGCACACTTCTGTTCATTATCCACACCACATCAGGTACTCTCAGAGCAGCTGTTAGTTTCCCCAACAATTGCTTAGTCTCTTCTCCTACCAGTTTAAGACACTGGAAATGTGAGTAGAAGAAAACTCTGAAAGCCTCAGATCGTTTTGGTACTACAGAAAGTATTTTTTGTACTTCTTTTGGATAGCAGTGTTTCAACGGAAAAGGAATCTATTTCTGTAATAGCCTAAAGGCAACAGAGAAAGATAGTTAAGTCATACATTCAAAATGCTACAAATGAAGTAAGGCACTCAGAATGAGTTATAGAAACTTGTTCCGGGACCCTTGGCACAGCAGTTGTAATTCAAAATAAAGCACAGAGACTCTTGCTTTCATCCTTGGTGTAGCTTCGGTTTCTAACCATTTTTTCAATGTTTTTTCTTTCATTAAAGGAAACATCAAATCGGGAAAAAAAATAAACTCCAACCTTTTAAATTTATTGCAACAGAATGAGAATAAGTGCTGCAAAGTGTGCTGACTCTTATTTGTGTTCTGTGAAAACACAGACACCCTGGTCAATTAAAAACTTAATGCCCAGTAGAAAGATAATGTCAAGACCAAGACTATAGAGTCCCTGTTGCTTACTTTGGGGTTACATCTAGGAGCTCACTCTCAACAGTAGACTTCCACTAGCCTCATCCCTATCTACTGCCATAGAAATTGATTTCATCTAACGCAATTGGCAGGATGATATTATGCCTTCAATCTTGATGAAAGGTTTCACACATTACTATTTAGTTTAATCATTAAACATTTATGATTTAATACATGCAAATACTTTAATGCATTATGATTTAATGCATAACTTTGTTTTCCTTCCTGGTGCAGATTGGCCACAAGGTCCAGGTCTCAGCCTGCACTACCCAGGTATCTCTCCTTGTACTGCCACACCTACTCACCAAAAATAGCAGCTGTCACCTCATTCTTCCACAGGAATCAAGACTTACACAAAACACCTAGCTGTACAGTACTTACTCCCCTTTCTGGGTAGCACCTTGAAGGCATGTTTATATTTAGGTTTCTAGCACCTCAGGGATATTTCTAAGCATACATCCTGTTTTAATCTCAACTTTAGACAGAGCTCTGGGATTTAGTCCTCAGAGAATGTTCACAAACTTCCAGATAGTGTTTCAGAAACGGAAAAGCTCAAGTAACACAGAAGCAAAGTAAAGAGTATGTAAGTATATGTCAAAAGGTGGGAATAGGGCCGGCCCGGTGGCGCACTGCGATAGTGCGCCCCTTGGGAAGCACGGCGGTGCTCCCGCCGAGGGTTCGGATCCCACATATAGACCGGTTCCCGCTCACTGGCTGAGCGAGGCGCGGGAGCAACACCGAGGGTTGCGATCCCGTTGCCGGTCCCGGTCCGGTGGGGGGGCGACACTGAGGGTTGCGATCTGTTGCCGGACACGGAAAAAGACAAAAAAAAAAAAAAGGTTGGAATAAAATATATAGGTATTGTCATTTATACTTGACACATGCAAAAACAGATAATTCCATATCCACGTGTATGTGACTATAATGCCCAATTCTATGTTAATTTCAAACATTTTAACTAGTATGATAGGCTTGTTTTATTGTTTTAAATGTCACTATTGTCTTCACTTCAAGTTTTTCTCAACCTTAATATAACTGCTTTGAATTTTTATGCTTAGCATAAGAACACAGAGCTATGATCCTTTGTCCACACTGTTTTCTGTACATGAATTCCCACCATCACCACCGAAATTTTACATGTGCAACTTGAAAAAATCCTATTGATAAGAATATAAAATTTCCATCTTGGAGTTTCCATTTCAAATCCTGGCTTTGTCACATACTAGTTGTGGGACCTTGGGTGACATGTATCATTGCGATGCCTCAATTTCCTCAGCTATAAAGTGGGAATAATAAGAGTACTTCTTTCACTGGGTAGATTTAAGATATTAGTTAATTTTTTGAAGTATTTATAACAGTGTATTGTACATAGTAAGTAATCAATTATAGTTTATAAAAATTATTATTATTTTACATTTCAGTTCACAATGACAATGTCATAGAGTTGATTTATGCAAACCAATCAGAAGAATCAATTACATCAGGAATTCTACAGACATTTTTCTTCTGAACTTCCTAATAATGGAGTCAATTATGTGTACATTGCGTGGTTCCTATTAGAATGTAATTATTCTGAGCGAAAGAATTAGATCTCTTTATTATACAGCTGAGGTTTCTGGAACCTCCTAAAGATAGCATCAGGCTTGAGAAATAAAGCATTGAATATAACACATGGGAAGTAATGTCCTTCATCTGCCTTTACCTATCTTCTCTATCATTCCATAAACAATTAGAGTTATCTCCTCCAAATTCACAATTTTTGCTTTCTTCTACATATACAATGAAATATTCTCTTATATCTAATCAAATTTTCACATCTAATCAAAATCAATCTTGAGGCATTTGTTCAAAGGCACATTTCTTTTCTCTGTGTGAATGAGGATGCATCTCAAGTTCAGAGCTGCTAAAGGTATCTTGGGTCTATGAGGGAGCTAACCTTAGCATCAAGATGAGATACAGAATTTTAACACTAAATGTTAAAACAAAATTGGTCCCCAATGCCAACCAACGTCTTTATTGTTGTGAAAGCCAATAAATTCTCTTCAATGGTTGAGACAGTCTGAATTATCTTTTCAAAATCTTGTAATGTAAAATATCCCCATAGATACAGATTTCATTACTTGTTTTTCCTTGGACACTGCCCTCCCCATGGCCTCAGTTCTGTGCTCTACTGTGAACCTGTTTGTGTTCCTGTGTCTTGTTAAGGACACACTTTACACATTTTTCTCCTTTTTGGATTCACTGTTCCTCATCCCTCCTGTCTTCTCATTTCACACATAGCCTATAGTTTTAGTGGAACACACCCTTAACTAATTTCCAAAAGCAGGATGAATGGAAAGTGTAGTTTCAAAATCCGTGTATGTTTGAAAATTATTTTGTCCTTAACTGTGATTGATATTTTGGGTTTAGTCATTATCAGTTGAATTTCATCCCCTCAAAATTTGTATGTGGAAGCCTTATACCCTCAGTACCTCACCTTATTTAAAAATAGTCATTACAGATGCCATTAGTTAAGGTTAGGGTGGAATCATAATCCAATATGACTGGTGTCCTTATAATAGAGTGCCATGTGAAAAAACAGACACATTTAAAAAAATTTATTTTTATTACCAAGCCCAAGTCCGGCCACCAAAACAGAAACAAACAACCCAAAGTCAAATGTTGGTGAAATAGGAAGAATACTTTATTCAGGATACCAGGTCAAACCCATCTCCTCAGTAAACTTGAAGGAGATGGCTAGACTAAAACCATCTCAAAGGATCAGATTTACTGAGGGGTTTTTGAGGAGGAGATTGAGGAAATGGAAGTCAACAGGAGAAGACAGGGCAGGGGCAGGGGAGGCTGTGCACAAGCTCCAGGTGCAAATTTTCATCAAGGCTCTGTCTGGCTTCTGTTCTCATCCTTGATGTTATCTTAGGGCCCTGAGGGATTTTGATTTGCTTCAGGGTGGCATCAGCATAGCTTTATTTTTCCTTGATTTCGGAGAATCTGGATAGTACGTGTCTCATAGCAAGTCTACAGCTCCAGGCTGACTGGAAAACAACTTTAAATTTATATAATAATATCATCCTGCCCAAGGTTCAAAATACCATGTATCTGCGTGAAAAGAGGGAAAACAGAGAAATGCATGCTAAGAAAAAAAATTTGATTTTGTTTTCCTTTTTGTTTAATTTTCCTTTACCCCGTGTGGTTTTAGTTCCCAACATGTCTTCAGTCTTGCTCATGTCAATATTTTTATTTGTTTAGCAGTTAAATAGTTTATTCTTTCACGTAAAGGATTGCTATCAGCAAGTTTTTGTGAATCATCTACTTACGCTTTTTATATATTGATTAGTTATATATTTATTTCCTCAATTACAAAAATCACTGGTTTAGTAATAAAAATAACTCATTTTTAATTAGTTTCAAAAATTTCTTAACTTTATGGTCGTTCTGCTTTGAAATTCAATTTTATTTATTTATTTATTTTTTATTTTTTATTTTTTATTTTTTTTTTGTCCTTTTTGAGACCGGCGG